AACGTATTACCAGGTTATATTGAGATGAAACATTTGGCAAAATTATTACAAATGTTTTCAAAAGATTTTAAAAATGACGTGAATGTTCTTTTCCACAAAAAGGGAGCGTAAAACTACGGCTTACTTAAGATAGTTCACCGAAGAAAATCTCATCCTTTTCCCGAACATTTAAATATCATTTAAATTGCATTTAAATGATATCTAAATGTCAAGAAATAATATCTATGAAATCTGATATTAATTCAAATTACAGAATGAGTTGTAAAAGCGATGGGATCATGTTTGACTCAAAACTATCTATTCGAAAGTAATCAAATCTGCAGACAGAAAACAGGTCAGTACTCTATCAATAACATAAAGTAAGTGCCGTGCGTCCTATGAAGTCAACACACATTTCCTGTTTTTATTTGAATTAAACGATAAATTAGAGTTGGGGCATATTGCAAGATCCGCGGAATAAAATTTCTGGAATAAAATATTAAGATTAGTTGTGGTTAAAGGAGACTTCTGAACATTAAGAGGAAAGTCTGGAATAATAAAAACAAAATAGCGACTTTTCTCAACAAAAACTAAGAGGAAAAACAAGGTAGCTACTTTTCTCAACACAAACTAAGAGAAAATGCTGTAAGACATTATTAAAAAAAGGTAATCAACATGATATGTGTATTGTGCGTTAGACTGAAAAGTAAATAACAGATTTCTACTATCATTCTGTAACTTAAAAAGATGTGATTCAGTACACTTGAACGCTGAGTTTTCTAAAATATTAGTCTTTCTTGAAGTAAAAAAGTAGCGATAAATCTACATAGGACAACAATCTAGCAAAACTGCATGCTTATACGTTCTTGCCTACACTACTTAGAATCACCTATAAAGACAGTACAGCTAGCTCTGAGGTGACAACACATCTTAGAAATTAATTGCTATAGCTTAGTGTGCTCTTTCTCTAACCCATCCTACGTAGACCACCAACCACCACAAAGCTCTTGGCGTTGTTACAATAGGCAATAAATAAACGGCGGCGGTACATAGGAAACACATGCTATAGCTTGGATTCGCTTCTACACACATATAGAAATTACGCAAAACTCAAATAGTAGTACGAACCAGATCTGACGGAAAACTGACTTGAAACATTGTGATCTAAAGGGACAGCGGCATGCAGAACTTATCAATCAGGTTATTCCTACACCTCTTCAATATGAAGATTTGGTTAATTTTCGAGACTACGCGATTAGGTCCAAAAACAGTAGGGAAGAGGGCGATTGGAGGAGGAAGATGAGAAGGACAAGAGGGAGGGGGGGTTAATATGTGAGGATAGGATGGAAGCTGCAGAAAGAAGTCATTTTTTCTAAATCTTTTCGGTTCCATCATGGCTCAAAACATAAATGCTATACTCCAAGGTCTCTGAGAAAAGTTACTATCTCTTGTTTATTGTATTTTGTATTTGACTGACACTTGTCAATCGAGGAGCATTTCTGCAATTGCACATGCATCATTACGAGTAAAAATAGTGCTGCAAAATCCTTTACCAGAGCTGAACTTTGTCTACATAAACTTATGGCAATGTGGACAAGGTTCCTGTACT